CCTTGGTGGGCTGACAGAAAATTAGATCTTAATTGTGCTTTTGCTAAGCCAACTCCATCAAGGCCCCTGAAGCTGCTGCTTCCTTGTCTTCGATGTCCAAGTTGTTTTACTACAGACCAATGTGTTACTTTACTAACAGAAACTACTCTGTCTGACACAACGTTGCCTTGAGGTGAGTCAGAGGGTTCAGCAATCCCAGAGCTGCAAGTCATAGAACCTTTGATGTTGGAAAAGACCTCCAAGGTCACCCAGTCCAACCTCTGATGGAGTACCACCACGTCCATTAAGCTCTGTGACAAAGTGCCACGTTTGTTCAGGAATTTGCTTGTGATAGTTTTATTTTACTCTAAGGAAAATTGGAAAACAAAATTATTTTTTTTCACCTCAGCATATTTTTACTTAAATGTGCTATTCATGTTCCAATGGGTGATGCTGTATTTAACATATTAGCTTATTTCTAGTGGGAAAGTTTAAAAGTTTCATTTCACTATCGTGTAGATGAAGAGTTGAGGGTCCTAACATGTGCCAAGAGTTAGGCAATTTATTTAATGAAGATTCCCAGTCTGCTTTTTGTAGTTACTCTGAGGATCAAAGCAAGATTTCTCAAAGGACACTAAAATCTACTGAGAGTGTCTGTGCAGTGTCACTCAATAATAAATAAACACAACTAATGGCCAAAGGTGATGATGAAAATGTCTTAAGGATAAACTTTTAAAAATAAACTGAAGGACTGACCAAGAGACAAAGAGCTAATGTGCTGAAGTGGAATTAGTTAATATTCATATTTGTAAATTTGTAAGTAAAATGAAACTGTAATAATTCAACTTCCATCTGCATGGAAATTCCTCAAAATCTTGACATTTCTTCTCTTTATGTTAGATGGGGTTATAGACCCAACAGATACCAAGTATTGGTCATGTAAAATTACGTTTAAATACCTTGGGGTTTCTAAGGATCAGAGAATAAAAACCCACGGAGTTACTCCACTCTACCAGCTTCAGAGAGGTGAAAAACTGCTCAAGCCATGAAAGCAACCCATCAAGTTGTCCATGCTCTCTGCATTCATGATTTCAGAGCATCTCCTGAGCCACCTGCACCTAATCATTGCAAGGGCATTTTCACAGTCTGAGTTGTGATTCCAGTGGGAAACACTGACATGAAAGAATTTAAGCAAACCTATAATTTAAGCAGCTGCTCGCTGGTGTAAGCAGCTGGTTCAAACTCTACTGCATGCCTTCCTCTAGGATTGGAACCAGGATCCATCCTGGGGATTTGTTTTAAAGAGAAAAAATTATGCAAGAAGGAAAATCTGCAATCTCTCACCTTTTTTTTTTTTCCTGAAGAAACACGTAGCAGCCACTATTCCAACACAGAGGCAAATTGAATATACATGTCCTTATTGTAACATCTCATTTAACATGTCCCTCTCTCCTTTTTCCTCTCAGATGTCTCAGGAGCTTTTGAAATGTTAAAAGGTGAATGAGACAAAACCGAACCATGAACAGATACCCCTTGGAAAAATACAATAGATAAAGACATCACTGCTGTTGAAGGTGACAAAGAGTGATGGGAAAATTACATTTTCCGTGCTTCTGCCAGCCCTATTGGAAGGCTCTGCTGTGATGTTTTAATTTTGTCTGATTAGATATAACTGATCTGCAGTGAGGGTAATTCTTTTCTTACACAATTGGGATGAAGAATAGTAGGATCACTCCTCAGTTGATCAGGATAAAACCTTTTTGGGATAAGAGTGGCCTCACCCAACAGCCTCTCTGGGAGTTCATTAACTTAACCCTTCTTGCCTCTTTGCCTTCTTCCTGATTGTCCCTTATTTGCCTGTCACCAGCTTCAGCAGGACCTCTGACAGGACCTAAGCAAGATAATTTGGATGGCGAAAGGGGGAGACACTGAGAAGGAAAGCAGATTAGCTCTCTTAGAATAGGGTTTGAAATAAATTAATTCACAGTTGGATATTTAAATTTTCTCACTTTCACCTAAATCAAGGTGTTCAGAAAACGAGTGGATGTGACACTTCACAGTATGGTTTAGTGGCCACGGTGATATTTGGTCCAAGGTTGGAATTTATGATCTTGGAGGTCTTTTCCAACCTTAATGATTCTATTTTCCTTTTGAATCATAGTTCCACTGTGAGTGCAATTTATATTTCTGCCTCCCTTTTTCACACACACAGGTGTAAATTTTGGTCAGTGGCACTGTTTTATTCAGAAAAGTGCAACAGCAGGGTTGGGCTCTCTTGCCCTTTTCCAGGTTGTTTCAGGTGAATGTCTTGCTTCTTTAGGAAGATCTGAAAGCCAACTGCCTCTCCCATGCCTGGGAAGGGCAGGAGGAGCTCCATGCTTGGAGTCATGGGAAACAACAACTGTGTGAACCACGGTTTCTCCTTCAGGAAAAAATCCAACATTTTATGACAAAATAAGAACAGAAATCTGAGTGCAGCTGGGTTAAATTATTGTACTTTTAGATTGTGAAATGCTTTCATTTGGGTACCAGGTTTGTTATCTTTTTTTTTTTTTAAATGTTGATTTATGATAATATTTTCTCTTAATTATCCTTTGTTTTGTAGTTGATGAAAAATAGACTAAGAATGAGCACTCAAAAAAAAAAATCCCCTTGAGCAGAATTGGTTTAAAGACACCAGGAACGGGCAGGAACTGATGCCCAGGAAGTTCCAGCTGGACAGGAGGAAGAACTTGTTGGCTGGGCAATGTCCCAGCACTGAACAGAGACCAAGAAAGGGTGTGGAGTGTCCTCCCTGGGGATATTCCAGAGCTGTCTGGACACACTCCTGTGCCCTGTGCTCTGGGCTGGCCCTGCTGGAGCAGGGAGGTGGGACCAGATGCCCACTGTGGTCCCTTCCAGCCTGACCCATCCTGGGATAAACAGACCCACAACAGCACTGAGCACAGAGAGGAAAGGAGGATTGTGGGTCTGATGCTGCCCAGAAGAGCAGATTCTTGTGGGCAGACACCAACAGTCCAGCACCGGGATAATTTGAGATATTCCTAAAGCTATATCCCTGCAGGGGACATGGCCAGGTTGCTCAGCAGGACGCACAGGTACCCCTGCAATTTGGAATTCAAATATCCAGGGATTTTGCTTTCACCTGTAAATCACTGAGTGTGAAGACTCAAGTTCATTTTGCTCCAATTAAAGGTTGAAGATGGCAGTGCTGATGGTGGGGACTGAAACCTTCTCCCCTGTTCCCATTAAGACAGTTTGTCTATTCCAGTTTTTTATTTCTATTTTTAATGCTCATAACAGCTCTGCTTGCCAGAAGCTTCTCAGTGTAGTTGCTAATGAGAGAATGAAAATAGATTTTGGAATGTTTGTAGAGATCTTTGGATTAAATGTGTGTATTTTTGAGTGACTTACCCCCCTGTATGTATGCTAGCAGTACATTCACAAAAGCCTTCCTAATTTGCCAGTGGCCTAAGGAGCCAAATTGTTTCCCATTGCTGTGAAATTTTACTGCTATGGTATTTGTTTCACCAATTTTTCTGCATAACCATATGGTCAAGAAATTTGAGGTGAAAGGCCATAGAGTGGAGCCAATACCTCTGAGGTTTTGCTTTCTGTTCATCATAGTTATCATCCTGATCTTGCATGATTTAAAGTTATTATTTTTATGAACAGGTAGAAATTGTAAATCAGCATCCATTTACCTTTGCTAACAGAGCAAATGCCTGCACTGGTAATGCACAGCTATCACTGCATCTGGATTTGTGTGTTTGCACAAAGTTGTGTCTCTGTTTGAGATGTATCTTTTTATATTGATTTCTTTGGTTAAAATAAAAACCTCAGTTGTATGAATGCTAGAGGAAGTTTCAGCACAGCTTTTGGATTACTTCCAGAGGAGCAAACCATAAGCAAACAGCTTTTTAAAGAATCCAGCTTCTCCTAGTTTGTATTCAATTCCCTGGTTATTTTCCAGTGGGAGGCACAGGAAGGTTGGGGTTGTCTCAGCTGCTCTCCTTACTCTACTTGTAGAGGATTCTTTAATTCTGCCTGGGCAGGTGGTTTGTTTCAGTTAAGGCCTCTCTGCCTGGGCCAGGCAGTTACTGGCTCACACCTGAGGAGATTTTGGGGTGTGAGCAGGTCGTTAAGATGATGCACCAGTGGAGTGCCTTTAAAAATCACCCCCTCCTCTTCCAGTAGGCACTAGGGGTGTATCTTCCCAGTGTGAAGATCCAACCTGTCATCCATTTCTTACTCTGTGGTTGGGAGGTAAGAATTTCTCAAGGTGTTTAAAAGCTGAGCTTTGATTTAATCTGTTTGAGGAGCACATGAGTGCAAGTGAGAGATGAGTGTAAAGTCTGCGTGGTAAAAGAGGAACAACCTCTGCCAAAAGGATCCAGCCAGTGGGAAGAGTGCAGTGTGATCTGTTCTAGCTTAAAAGAGTGAAAGTTCCACTAGCAGTGCTTTTCCCCTCAAAATAAAGAGTGCCCTCCTCTGTGGATGTGGCCCTGGGCACCTTCACTAACTGAGGAACACATGGCATATTTATAGTCTATCAGCCCAAGGCTGTTTTCATGCAGAGCTACTGCTGCAAGGCCTTGCCACACATCTGTTCCTTCTTCACTGCCACCCTTTTGGAGCTCAATGTTTGAATGATGATCTCGTAGAATCACAGAATCATTAAGGTTGGAAAGGACCTCCAAGATCCTCAAGTCCAACCTTCAACTAATTCCACCATGCCCGTGACACATTCTTACTGTTCATTCTTGTTTGCATCTGCCTTTGACATTCACCTTGAACTTCTCCTCGCTTTCTTGCTCTGCCTTAGCATTTCCTCCTCCTGAAAGGGAGAGTGCCATCACCCAAAGTGAACTTCTCCTGGGAGACAGATTCCTCCAGGACAACAGGCTGCTGTCCCTGCCTTCGTGACATACAGAGATCTATATAATGGGTGATAGAAAAATTATTGAGCTTCGTTCTGTTCTGAGCATGAATAATATTGTCCCAATTTTTCATTCCTATAGGCTCTCTCTGTGTGACGCTGCAGCAACTCTGTGGAGTATGAAGAAGGCTCAGAAGTCCATGTAAGTGTGTATTTTCACAAATGGGAATTGCCAAAGCAGCTGTTAGCTCTCTAGCCCTTTTTAAATCTGAGGGAATTGATACAGCAGGGAACACCGATGGAAAAGGGATGAGACCATCACGGGGCCGGAAAAAATAAAAAAAAAAAAATCACAAACAAGGTTAAAAAATGGAGCAGGTGAGAGTAAATTGTTAGTGTCTGACTTCTTGGGAGCAGTGGCAATTTATAACAGTGGTGAGTCACCCAGGAGTCTGGAAAGAACAATAATGCATTGCTGACTCCTGCTCTGGTTTTTTTGGAGGGGGTTTCCTGAAGCAAGAACCAGTGGCTCACTGGGGGGCTGGAGCAGCTCCCAGTTCCCCACCCCGGCAGCTCCAGGCCGTGGTGCCTTTGAGTATTAGCACCCTCAGAGCCCTGGCATCACCTTTTAGCACACAACCTAGCAAGCGTTGTTTTGTTGCCTTCTCAGCTCCTGGTGGTTTTAGATGTGTTTGCAGATCTAATCGGCATTCCGCAGATAAACAGGGCATTAACTGAGGTGTGGACAGCTCTGCCCCTGGTAATTGCAGAGCCAGTTTCAGAGCTGCACAACAGAGCTGTGAGAAGTTACTAAAGCACAGCTGAAATGAGGTAATCAGGGCCTGGTGCTGTATTGATTAACACTCTTGTGTGCAAGATAAGGTAGAGTGTACTGTATCTACTGTAATGCTTTTATCTGCTGTGCCTAATTTAAGTTTATTCTAGATTTCACGTATTCCATCAGTAACCAGTTCATTGTATATGCCAGGGTCACATGTGTAATGAAGTTATCAGCAGTGTGATTTTGATTCTGCCTCCTCTACATGCTTGAGAACCAAAGAGGAATTATCCAATAAGTTGTTTTCTGCTCTAGGTCCTGGCTAGTTTGATACTAACTCGATATTAAATTGAACACTAATGGTTTACTGTTGCATATTGTGTAAACACTCAGCTTTGCTGAATTTTTTTGTTCCTTTTCTTTGGTTTAATGGACTCTCCATGGAGGAAGGAGAAGTCTTGTTTGCCCAGGAGCACTATGGAAGTCAAAGGGCCTGCTGCACATTTTAGCTGAGCTGCAAGGAAGTGATTCCTGTTTGGAAAAAAAAAAAAAAAAAAAATCCCAAGGGAAGAGCACTGCTGTAAAACCTGTCAGTGCAATCTGCCAGAGAGCCTAGGATTTGGGCTTGGAAAAATCCCATTGCAGTAATCCATTAATCCATGGAATTACCTGGAAGCTTTTCAATATAAGGGAGTAATTAGATGAGATCCCAATTTTTTAAATTTTTGTTTAACATTTATTGCTATTGCTGGTGCTTTATTTTCTTTTATCCACTGCCCTCTACAGGTCTCGTGGATCGAGTTAGACTGAGGGAAATGAGGTTGCAGCAGTGGCTGGCTCTGGCTTTAAAATAACTGCAGAGATGCTCCTGGAGCTGTTTTCCACGCTCTCTGGAAACGGGAAAAAAAATATCTACAATAGCAGAAATTCAGATTTTAATACAGAGATTGGCAGTCCCAGCTTTTAGGAGCACAAAAGCAAGGATATAACATTCCTTTCTAAGAGCCTGCCTGCTTTATTACAGGTGATAAGAGTTATGGCACAAAGTTATCAAGGCATCAAATGTATGGCTATTTTTCCTCCTTTAGTAAATTCTTGTTAAAATCCATTTTCAGGGAGAGATCATCCTTGCAGATGAACTGCAGAAATGCTTCTGAACTTGAAAGTCTTGCTCTGAATAAAAGAGTGGGGGAATTGCAAGGTCCTTATGGGTTTGTGTCTCTTCACTGGGCTCTGGGGGGCCCTTGCCAGGCATTTCCCTCTCCCAGAGAGTTGGAACAACTGTCTCTTCCGTGGCCTTTCCTTGTGTTTAAAGAACATGAATTGTAACTGCAGGACATCCCCCTCATAGGGATGTTTGGGAATCACTCTCCTCTATCTGGCTGCTGCTTTCCTGAAGTGATTTGCATCTTAATAGCTTTGATACCGCTATCAGGATTTTTTGGGGAAGGACAAGAAGGCAGTGGTGTGGTAGGATTATGTGAACCATGTTCCTTGGAGAAACCCAGCTGCAAGTAGAAATGTTGTCTTTGAATTATGGCAAGGCTTCAGCTCAAGCCCTGCTGCTTGGCATCACTCTGAGAAATTAATATAAATTCATGTTTAGCTCTTTTGCCCTTTATTCCCTGGCAGTTGCCATGTGCATCACTCAGCAGAGCTCCCTGCTATCCCAATGCTTATCCAATTAGGGAAATGGCAGCATGTCTGGGCTGTGTGTTTTAGGGAGGGAAACGATCCCATGCTTCTCCCAGTGAGCTTCTGCGAGGTGTTTATAAGATATTGTGGTTTGTATTGGAGTGAAGTAAATTAAAATTGCTTTTTAATTAAAATTAAAAAGCAGTCCAGGGGCTGCTCCTGGGCCAACAACCAGCCAGGGACCCACCGTGGGATGTTTTGGATGGACTGAGGTGTGTTGTAGGTTGGAACAGTTCCTGCTGGGGATCCAACCTCTACCCAACATGTCCAGGAGGTTTCATGCAGGCTGTCTGTACCTGCTCCCTGAAGGGGCTGGCCCTCAGCAGCTGGAACAGCCATGCCATTCCTGCATTTCATCGTTTTATCCTCCAGGAATGCAGGTTTTGTGCTCCCAGACCTCTCTGCAGTGCACCCCAGTGTGCTGTGGCATGGGGACAGCGAGGACAGTCACTTCAGAAGTGCCTGTCTGACCTGCACTGCAGCACTCTTCCACAGACACCCCTGATGGATCAGTATCTCTATCCTCACCAGGAGAATAAGATTTATCATGGATCTCTGATGCAGTAATTATGTAGCCTCTGTAGATTTATATATGATACTTATCTCCATGATTTGTCTCTCCCGTGTACACCCATAAATTTATTTTCCCTTTTCAGGATACAGTTATAGATAGTTTTAAAGGCTCTGCAGTTTGGGCTTTAGTTGAATTGTATCTCAGCATTGGGCCATTCCTCCACAAAGTGATTCTTTTCCTAAATTATACTCCCCAAAAGACAGAAATGTTGTCAGTTCTTGCAGTTGTGCAGTGACACAAGTAAAGCCACAGAAGTAACCCGGCTCTGCTCACTGGGGCATCCAGAATTAGTCAGCTGGCTTTGAAACTTAGCTGGGGATGGTGGAGATGAGAAATGAATTTCCATAGATCTGCAGCTTTGCATTCATCTTAATTTTCCAGTTGACTGGGGATTTGGGGAATCACAGAAGAATTTGTCTGTTATCAAATTCCTGAAGCACAAATAAACCACTGGAAGTTGTCACTTACAGCAAAATATTTTATAATTAATGAGATCTAAACAGGAAGAGGAATGGAAACACTGGCCACCTTATAGGAGCTTGTGGGCACAGAAATGAGTGTAAGGAAAGAGTAAGAAAACACCCAGGGAATTAACCCAGGTAACTACAGGTAACAGCAGTAGGAAAAAGGTGAGATGGGTACATGTGTGATGCAGGCAGATACAGGAGAGAGGTCTGTGCTCATGAGTTGGACACCCTTTGGGAGAATGGGAAAGGAATTTTCCTTCTTTTGATATCAGGAGGAATTTCTTGCTGGAAAGGGTGGTCAGGCCTTGGCAGGGGCTGCCCAGGGAGGTTTGGAGTCCCCATCCCTGGGGGTGTCCAAGGAAGGCCTGGCCGTGGCACTCAGTGCTCTGGGCTGGGGGACAAGGCGAGGACTGAGCACAGGGGGGACTTGATGGTCTTGGAGGTGTTTTCCAACCTCAAGGATTCTGTGATTCTATGACTCCTTTCTTCAGTGTCTTCCCACACACCAGGTCTTCTCCTCAGCAGCTGCTGTTGGAAGCTCCCAACTGGCAAATTGTTCTCTCAGCTTCTCAGCTCCTCCTCTGCCTGACCCTGTGCACTGACAAGGCCAGGGATGACCAGCTCCCAAATTCTGGGAGTGCTTTACGTTGCCCCAGGCCCCATTTGCACACCTGGGCTTCCCACTGTCCGTGAGGAACGTGCTGCCTTCACCCCCCATGGTGACCATTCCAGCATTTGGTGAGAAATGTCAGGGGTTTTACTGCTGCGCAGATGCAGCCAAGTTTTATGAGAGTGGATGTTGAGAGGTGGATAATCGATGTTAGTATGAACCTGAAGGGGTCTGCCAGTAACACATCAGCTTTAAGCCAGGGCAGGACAAAGTGGCTGGTATCTGTTAATTGCTGTCTGTTTGATTTTTGGATCAGAAGTGCTTTTTGCAGGTAACAGAGGCCTAATTCTGTCCTGATTTTCCCCAGGTAACTGGGTCAGTCAGGATACGTTTCCCACAAATATGTTGCTCTTAACACTAATTATACCTGCAGATGGCTTTCCTACACAACTCCCTCTCTGCATGCCTTTATGTGATACAGGGTATAAATTCTGATGTTCTCCTTAAATAATACAACAGATGTAGATTAAAAGCAGTTCCTCTTCACTGACTGCTCAGCTCATAAAGTTCTTCTACTCTCACATGGATACTGACCATGCAGGTGCCTACAAGACAGAAAAGGACATTGCTGCCTAACTTGACAGGCACTAAGAGATCCCTTGGGATGGTGTGTAATATCTACATCTCCATTTATCAGTTTCTTGACATACATTCATATATTATTTATTAAAGAAAGTGCCGTCGTTCTATATATATATATATGTATGTATGTATTTATGCATTGAAATAAAATGCATCAAGGAAATTACAGTTCCTCTTAATTCCTGGCCTCTTGGAACTGTGGTTCCTTCCTGAGTCTTTGTTTAGGATGAAAGCAGAGCTGCTCAGCTCCAGCAGGGCCTCGCTCGCTGGCCGTTGATGCGTGATTTTGTTTGGGTTTGTAACTGCTGCTTAAGGCGGTAATTAGTACATAAATATGCAATTTGTCACAGCTGAGGTTATTCAGGCTGGGAGGCAGAGAACCTGGAGGCAAGAGGAGGACTGGTGTCCCTTAGCAGAAACCTGGACTAGGTGGTAA